ACTTTTAGTTTCAGAGGGTGACCGCTCCCCCTCAAACATGTAGTTGCACCAGTGCAACCAAGCCATTTTTTTTATTTGTACCATTGTGAAATCCGGTCGCATTTGCGACCAAATTGGTCACACTCTAGAGCCCTGAATAAGCAAGATAAATAGCAAAGGTTTGCACATGCATAGAAGTTAAATATAAACCTTTTGACAGATAACTTAAACTCACCTAATTAACTTGTGGTTGGTGTCAATGTGAAGGAGTGACAGAGGACTGGGAACACTGTATGTCCGTCGAACTACACAGCCAAGATTTGCCATCCTTTCCAGGATTCCAGCACTGTCCACATGACGCATGGAGTCCCACACTCTGTTCCACTGCAYCCTGTGGCCCATTGCCCTGAGGCGTCCTTTGACCATTCTGTAGCCTACAAAGACATTCAATTATGAGACTATCAAAAAACACATGGTAAGACAAGTGTATTAGAGTAAATCAGACTAACAACTGATAATGACATCCATCTWTTGTTATTCATATAAACAAGAAAGCTATTCAGCATAAAATATAACTGGGATATTATTATCAGTATATTTTTAACATGACAAACTAACCCAGATCTTTTGAATCCTGTTTTATTGCCAAAACTTAATTGTCAAGCTCATCATCTGACAGTGAGCTGTACAGTAAGTGGCTCTTATTGAGAGGCCCCACTGTTCCATTCTCCGGCAGACTGTTTTGTGGGATACACCAAGAAAGTTGGAGATACAAGAAACCGAGAGGTCCATTTTTATAAGTTCTTGGAGATGGTCTTTGGAGACATACAACTTGGGCCTCCCCTGTTCACCAGCTGAGCTGTCAACAACAACGGTACATCTTTCTCTTTCCATTTCAGAGTGGAGGAGGCAGATGAGCTGGTGAAGTGCTTCAAGTACCAAGAAAAATGTTTATATACAGCTTATCAGTTGGATGCAATACCGTTATTCAGTTTTAACATTTGAGTAACATTACCCTTATCCCAAATCTTTCTTATGAGCTACAGAACAACATTTTATCTTAGATTTAACAAGGCAATACAGGTTTTGTATAGCAAATTTCATGCAGAACAAAATAACATAAAAATTTAAAATGTATAACAAATAAATATGCTTAAATAATTTCAACAAGGTAAACACAAATCTGACAAATTAACCTACCAGTGGTGGGAAAGTAATGTGTGTAGAAAGAGAACTGATCAGAGTCAACGTGTTCACGCAGAGGAACTCAATATGGTCAAGATCCAAGGGCTGCCTTTGGCTAGAATTGAGCGGAACTGCGTAGAGAGGCAAGGGCCAGGCTGATTTAAGGTGGATCTAGTTAAATAGCTTAGTAAGAACAGGTGGCTGCCTGTAAATAAAAAAAAATGTTAGCTAAGTGCTGTTTACTTTTTTAACTCCCTAACTTCAGAATGTATTTATATTAATACAACAACTACTCTGGATAATTTCTTTCTTTTTAACTATGTACTGCCACCTTAAATTATCAGACAAATACTACGTTTTGTTAAACAGATAGCTGCAATAYGATGCTAGCTAACTCATTTTATATTTCTTCAGTAAGTGTCAGCTGATAGTTTGTGTATCATTGATGAGTCAAATATGGTATTGTTTACTGTAGGTAGCTTCTAATGCTTTATGGAGACATTATCCAAGAGGGCCAGTGATTCCACTGGACAGCTTGAGTTAGCATAACAACAGTGCTTTTCACTTGTGTTTTTAATTAAAGCAAGAAACCAATGACAAAAACTAACAAGATCAATAAAGAACCTTGTCTACGCTACTATCATTTATAATGTTTTACATGAACTGCCCTGCTCTGCACCACGGGAAATTAAAGTACAGGAACTGACCGTTATTTTGAAATATATACCTTTGTTGCTTTTGGTCTACCTAACCATAAAGAAATGCCTACCTGCTCTGCTGCAGAGCTGCTGGAGCCATCCTCCATCTTAAAAACGTGCTTGCGCTACCCTTGGAGGACCTGCAGGTTCTGCACCGTGTCAACGCAAAAGCCAAACCTATCTGTTCTCTGATTGGATAGCAAAATGTGTGATTGACAAGTCAATGACCAATCAGCTGGAGGCAGAAAAACTTGGTCAGAATTCGTACCTGTAAAGTGAAACTCACATGCAAGTTTTGAACTTGAGCAGAGATTTACATGTAGTTTTTTGCTTTGTACCTGTAAACAGACCTTAACAAAAAAGATTGTAACTTGTGTAAAAATTTTTACAGATACAAATCTTATTTTTACAGATACAAATCTTATTTTTACACATACAAATCTATTTTACACAGACACATTCCTATTTGCATATCCAAAAGTTACAAATCTTAATCTACAAATACAAAGTCTGATTTACAAGTACAAATTACATTAGACTAAAATTTGTGCCCATATTAATAAAGGTTCTACACGCATCTTGAAAATTTAGACTGTTTTCACTTTAAAAAAATACAAAATATTACAGTAAAATGTGGTTGTGCCATCATAAAATACTGTATGTGATGAAGACGGACCGCTCTGTGAAGCAACCCTGATCTTATTTATTTCAAACTGTAGCTGATTGTTGAATTATTAACATTAGCAGTTGGTACAGTTTATAGAATTAAAAAGAAAAACACTCTGGTTTTAATCTCAGTTTCCTCACATGATCTGTGTTTCACATCCACCACTCCAACATATCCATATGGTGATTCTGATGTCTCTGTTATTCATGTATAAACAAAAGCTCCACTTGGATTTCTTCCACATATAGATACCTAAATAAAATGTCCTTATGAGGCTTGGGTATTTTTTTGGTCATGGTGGCCCACCATCATTATTTATACAAAACAGTATATGAATACCAGCGGATGTGTTGCATATGTTGTTTCACAAGTTAAAGTGCAGCAGCCTATAAGGAAGAGTAACCATGTTCAAAAAAAACCTGATGAACTCTTCACTCAGAGACTTTAATGTTCATGAGGTTCTGATGCTCAATCAGTGGATCAGAGAGCTGGATACAAACTGAAGAGAACAGATCAGACAACTGCTAAACTTAAAGTTTTCAGAGTCACAAAGAAGGATTTCTTTAGGCCTGGTTAGGTCACCATGGTAACAGAGACTGAGTCTGAAGCTAATTAGGTCACCATGGTAACAGAGACCGAACTCAGTTACTGTCAGTACGAAGCTCTTTCTTTACCCAGTGACACTGAAAATATTGCAATGTGACTGAAACAGTATTTATGTATCATCATAGTTCTACCTGCTGCTGTAAGTTTTTAAACAAACAGATCATCAAATAAAACAAAACGAAAACTTCTACCTTCCTAAAAGTCAAAAGTAGAGCTCTGATTCACAGCTAAAGGTTTCATTTTTAAATTTAATGTACCACAGTGTTTATTTAGGGACTTATAGCCTATTTTATTTAACATGTAGTATAATAAACATAACCCATAGATTCTAATTTCAGGTCAGATTATTTCATTTGACCCAAACCTATTTATTTAATTCTTATATTTCAACATAAGAAATAAAAAAAATCTGCTGTAAAACTTGAACACGCTCACAGACCAACATTTATCACATTTTCTCTTCAGAAGCTGCAGTTATGTTTTATTTAAAAAACAAAGGTGTTTGTTGTGGAATACTTATGTCTGTATCACCTTGACACTGAACATTGTTCATATCTTGTGATATCCTCTGGACGTCATCATCGAGTTGACCTATTTTCGTGTATCAGGATGAGGCAGGTTATGATTGGTTGTTCATTATCACATGATGTTAGCTGACAGTATATCATTGCATGGCAGCCAATAACAGGCGGGCCACATCCAACAGACTTCGTGATTGTTTTCTGTTCCATGTCTGCCCATTAATAAATGACTTTAYAAACATATCCGCAAGACTATTTGTCTTTTTAACACCCTTTCGCCATGTTTCTGACCATCTTCCCACGACAGTTTTGGCGTTGTCGACTACGGAAGCCTTCCAGGGACTCGGAGCGGCGCGCAGCAGCCTGTCTGTTTGTTTCGGACGGGACCGCAAACAATGGCGGCGACCTCACGCCTCACGGAGGCTTCGTCTGCTCCGGGGTTTTTGTGTGTCCGTCATGCGGACGACTGCTGCGGGTTGCGCTCCGGCACTGGGGCTAAAAGAACCTGTCTGGATGGAAGCACGGTGAGCTAAATGTTTTTTTACGCTGTCGGAAATAAATAAATAAATAAATAAGCGAAAGTGCTACAGCTAACTTCCAGGCCTAGCACACACTAAAAATCTATCTATTTGGTTCTCGCTCTGTGTGCTTCCAGGGGCTGTCTGATTTCTTAGCCGAGGTAGGATGATGGGAGCGGTTATATTCCAGATCCGAGTTTTAAAACAGGGAGGTCGGCTTTACTGTTTTAAAGTAGGCAGTTAGCTCAGGCTAGCTGCTGAGGGAAAATCAGTTTTCCATTTGCTGTTTCGGAGTTAAACAGGGTAGGCTAGAAAGTCAGTTAAAAGGC